TCTGGGCCCTCCCCCACAAATCACCAATTAAGAAAATGGCTTACATGCTTGCCTATAGCCCACTCCTATGGAGACATTTTCTTATTTTAGAACCCTTCCTCTTAGATGACTTTAGCTTATGTCAAATTGACACAAAACTGCCCAGCACAATGTTGAATACTTCTTTAAGTGTTTCCTAGCCATTTAAATTTCCTGTTTTGAGAATTTTCTGTTTAGGTAGGTTCCTCATGTTTTAACTGCATTATTTGTTTTCTTGATATCTAGTACTGTTTTTGGCTCCTTATATATTTTGGATATTAGCCCTCTATGGAATGTGTAGTTGGTAAAAAGAAAATTTCCCATTCTGTAGGCTGCTAGTCTGTCGGAATTGTGGTGTGCTTTGCCATATAAAAGATTTTCAGTTTCATGAGGTCCCCTTTATTAATTGTTGATCTTAGAGCCTCTGCTAATGGTGTTCTGTTTAGAAAGGTTTTGTTCCTGTGCCAATGAATACAAGGGTGTTCCTGACTTTCTCTTCTATGAAGTTCAGTGTATCTAGTTTTGTGTTGATGTCTTTGATACAATTAGAACTGAGTGCAGGGTGATAAGTATGGATCTATTTCAATTCTCCTACCTGAAGCCACTCAGTTTTCACAACCACCATTAAAAAAAAAAAACAACAAAAACAAAAAAACAAAAAAAACCAGTATTTTCTCCAGTACATGCTCCTGGCTTCTTTAATCAAAAATCAGGTATCTACAGGTATGTGCATGTTGGGAGCCGCGGCAGGTGCTGGCAAAGTCCGCCATCGCTAGGTGGCGCTGTCAGCCATAATTCTTCCTAGTAAACAAATAAAGTGTGCATGTGCCATGGTAAAGCCCGCCAAAGCTAAGCCCATCCCACGGCGTTTGGCGCGCTACGAGTTTGCAGCCAATCAGAGATGATTACGCCGCTCTAGGGTATATAAGGGCTTTTCCCAGGGCTGGGGGTCGTCTTCTACCACCATTTTGGTTTATGGGAATAAACGTTTTTCTACGGAAGGATTCTGGTGTGTGTGTGTGTGTGTGTGTGTGTGTGTGTGTGTGTGTATGGTTTCGCCGGCGAGACGACTACACGCGCGCGCCCCGCACATGTGCATTTATGTCTGCTTCTTCATTTATATTCCATTAACTGTTATGTCCTTTTTTGTGTGTGCCAATACCACACTGTTGTTATTACTATAGCTCTGTAGTGTAACTTGAAATCGGGGATAGTAATAACCTCCTACAGGTCTGTTTATATGCAGCTTTAATCCATAATAGTCAGATAGAACATGGTACTATTTAAATTTCCTTGTATCTGTTGAGACTTGCTTTGTATCTGAGTGTGTGGCTAATTTGGCAGAAAGTGCCATGAGGTACTGAGAAGAAGGTATATTCTTTTGCATCTGGGTGAAATGTTCTGTAACTATCTGCTTAGTCCATTTGGCTCACAACTTGAGCTAGCCCCAGCATTGTCTGTTTAGTTTTTGTCTGGAAGTCTATCTACTGATGAGTTGAGGTATTGAAGTCTCCGGCTGTCAATGTATACATATCAGTGTATCACTTTAAGATATATTGGCGTTTAGTTGATAAGCTTGGGTGCCCTTGTTTTGGATGCATAGATGTTAAGAATTGCAATTCTCTCTTTTTTACTTTACAGATCCTTTTGGAATATATTAAAGTTTCCAATTTAGTATTTTTTTTTGAGATTCCTGAGTGTGCAAATAAGTTGGTCTCTGCTTCTACATCTGTTTCATGTGACTTTTCATGGGCCCTTTCCTTCTGTCTGTCTGTTTTGTCTTAGTCCAATGTATCTTTTCATTATATTATATTATATTATATTATATTATATTATATTATATTTCCTTAGAATCCTTTTTTTTCTAATGAGAGACAGAAAGGAGATAGATCCAGATTTGGTATGGGAGGAAACTGGAGTGGAGAGAGGAAAAACATAATTAGGATATATTATATGTGATGGCTATTCTTGATTGTCAACTTGACTACATCTGGAATTAACCAAAATCCAAATGGCTGGGCACACCTGTGAGGAATTTTTTAATTAAATCATCTGAAGTGCAAAGACTCACTTTTAATACATTTCTTTGAGGTGGGATAAGACAACTTTAATCCAGAACTTTGAGGTGGGAAGATCCACCTTTAATCTAAGCCATGCCTTCTTCTGGCAGCCTATATAAAGAAATGGGAAAAGGAAGCTTTTCTCTTTGCCTGCTTGCTTTCAGTCTTCCTAGCAAGTCCATTCTAAAGCCAAATGCACTGGCATTAGAGCCTCCTTCTTCAGGATTCCAGCATATGATGGAGACCAGCTGAGACATCCAGCCTTACGGGCTGAACAACTACTAGATTATCTGACCTTCTGTTTGTATACTGTTCTAGGATGATATACATCCTTTGTTGGACTAGATGGACCACATCTAATAAGCTACTCTAGTAAATTATGTAAGAGCTATTTTCAATAAAAGGGAAAATACTGAGGCTGCCTGGAGCATATCCCTATAAAATTTTGGAGAATAAACTGGGTGTCAAGTGTTGGAGGGAAAAAGTTACATTCCTCAAGAGCCCATAACTAAATGTACTAGGACAGCATATGCACCTTGACTCAGAAGAAACAGACTGAAAATAACACAGTCGTCTTACCAAGTGATCATAGGAATGAAGACTTCCAAAGTATGAGTCCACTGGGATGTGCTTTGCAAAAGTGGGCATCAGCTTGACTATAAACAGCTAAACAATAGCAAAAAAAATAATTACACTCTCTCTTAAGAAAAAGCAATACATCAGCAATAACATTGCTTTGTTGCTGGAAATATGAAAAAGAGAAGTGTGGGGGGTCCAGGTTACACACTTAGAGAAAACTGACTCTCCCTCTTCTACAGCTAATAATGTCCAATAGTTCTCAGAAGAGACAGAACTTTGTGTCAAGTCCCATCTCATTGCTGGGACAGGTCTTCGGCATGATCTCATTGCTTCTGTGAGGCTGCTGTGTCCACAAAACATGGTTTCCCTGTGGTCATCCAATGCCTCTTGCTCTTATATTCCTTCCAACCCCCCTTCCGAAATGATCACTGAGCATTTCAGGGAGGTATGTGCTGTGGAGTCGTTCCATTTAGGGAATTTGTCCCTCTTCAATGTTCTCCTTTAGACCACTTTGCCTGTGTCTTCTCAGGTGTCGAAGTTGGGTTAGACTGTTCCGTGGACAATAGCCTTGGTTAACCCTATGTAAATAAACTCTTTACTAAAAATGACTTGCAGTTGTATTTGTAGCTGTCTTTTACTACTTTGTGGGTTCTTCTTTCTTCCACCCTTCTGTGCCTTTTTTCTGCCCTTCCAACCACCTAACACTATATAGGAGAGAAAAAAGGATAGAAAGGGAAAGGGCAGCCTTATCATTAGACTACTTCCTGCCGATTAGGGGCACTGAGATTCTTGGGGCAAGTCTGATCTTCTCTGTTAAGATATCTAATTTCTTCTTTCTTCTTTGCACCCAACTACTTAACAAAACTATGACCAAGAGCAAACAAACAACCCACCCAGTATCCTGGGCACTAGCCTTTCTGTAGCCTTTGAAAAATCACCAGCATTTAAAACATCAGACAATCATAGAAATTTTCCACCACTGGCAAAAATCACACCCTTGCACAAGGCAAATCAAAGTCAGCTGCCGGTGGAAAAATCTGAAGTGGCCCCACATCCTACACCTGTGATTAAAACAAAAACATATTCTTATAATATTTCTATGTTTTTTAAAGAAATGAAATGCCAAAATTGTCAATACAGGCCTTGGTTTTCACAGACCCACACCGCAAGTTTCTAGGGTGAAGAGGGACCGTCTACTATCTCATAGAATGAGAATTTTTTTTCCTGATATCCCTAATTGTGATGGCTATTCTTGGTTGTCAAGTCGACTACATCTGGAACTAACCAAACCCCAAGGAGATGGGTACACCTGTAAGAGGTTTTTCTTGATTGATTCATTTGAGTTGGAAGACCCACCCTAAATCTGGACCATACCTTCTGGTAGCAACTTATTTAAAGCACATAAAAGAAAGCAAATTTTCATTTCCACTGGCAAGTTCACCTATCCTGCTGCTGAGGCTTCCCTCACTAGCATCAGAGCCTGCTTCTTTGGGATTCCAATATATACTGAAGACCAGCTGAGACATCCAGCCTTGTGGACTGAACAACTATTGGATTATTTGTATTTCCATTGGAAGATAGCCATTGTCAAGTAACAAGACTGTCTTAGTTAAGGGATTCTATTGCTGTGAAGAGACAATGTCTTCGTTAGGGTTTCCATCACTATGAAGACACCAACCAAGGTAATTCTTATAATGGACAACCTGTAACTGAGGCTGGCTTACAGGTTCTCAGATCAGTCCATTATCATCATGGCAGGAAGCATGGCAGCATCCAGGCAGCTCTCTAGGAGAGCTGAGAGTTCTACATCTTGTTCTACAGGCTAACAGGAGAAGATTGGCTTCCAGGCAGCTAGGAGAAGAGTCTCAAAGCCCACCCCCTCAGTGACACACTTCCTCCAACAATATCACACCTCCTAATAGTGCCACTCACTCACTAGGTCAAGCATATCCAAACATGTAAGGCGCAAAAGAGGACCTCGCCCTAAGATGGCGATGGCTGCCTGAACGCTGTAGAGTAAACAAGTCCATATTTGGCATTTAGGCTGTGCAAGGCCAGTGGTCTGACATGACGTGTCATGACGAGACCTATGGAGAGCTGCCACATGTCGTGTTTGCTGTAGATGTCTGCAGGGAATATAAGCCGTGCCCAGGACGGGATTGGGGCCATCTTCCAGCTATCTGTAGAGTGCTAAAGCTTCCTGAGTAAACTGCCTTGAGAAGGAACCTGGTGTCCTGCGTCTTCTTCCCGCTGGTCAGGGTCAGCACGGCACACAAACAACCACAGACACCATGACTCTTACAGAGGAAAACATTTAATTGGGGCTGGCTTACAGCTCAGAGGTCTAGGTCACTATCATGTAACAGGAAACATGGCAGCTTGCAGGTAGACCCGGTGCTAGAGGACAGTCCAGAGTTCCATATCTGAATCCACAGGCAGCAGGGAGAGAAAGAGGCACACTAAGCTTGGCCTGAGCTTCTTAGACCTCAAACCCTGCCCCCCAGTGACATAACTCCTCTGACAAGCCCATACTTACACCAATAAGGCCACACTTTCCAATAGTGTCAGTCCCTATAAGCCTATAGCACCATTTTTATTTAAACTACCACACAGACCAAAGCTTGTAAGCCATTCTAATAAATCTCCATATGTATGTGCGTGTGCATGTGTGCATGTGTGTATGTGTTCTGTTTCTCTAGAGAACCCTGACTAATACAATTGTCATTCAACAATATTCTAGAGTAAGAGTTCTTTTTTTAAAAAAATTATTAATCATTCCATTCGTTCACATCTCAAATAATATCCAGTTACCCCCTCCACCAACCCCCCATTGCCACAAAGTCCCCTGAAGACTTAAATTGAAAAAAGATAAAAATTACAACAGTATAGAATTAAGAAAAAAAAAAGCATGGTAGGATGAGATAGGATGAGAGAAACATGGAGTCTACAGTCAAGTGCATCTCAGCTCAACCAAGAAGCCCGTTAGTAACTGTATAAACTTAAATAGATGTTTATCTGAATCATCAGTTTTCTTTAAAATGCAAACACATCTCTATCCTATCCTTCGAGGATATCACACTGAGCTGTACACACATGTAGTGTCTAGTATGTTATAGTCACTAACAGTGCCTTTTTTTAAAACACAGAGGAAAGTATGTGTAAAATATTTACAACATGGCTTCATTTGAATTTATTAGCTCTAAAATAAGTGATGTTTGTCTAGGCTTAATCCATCCCAAAGGGCATATTTTAATAGTGGAGATGGGAGAGAAGCTTGTCATGAAGGTAGGAACACTCTTGGCAACATGGCCTATGACTTTGTGACAGGAAGCTGAAGTACAGCCAGGGGAGATCTGTAACACTGAAGCAAGAATACAAATACACAATACTGATCCCAAGCCATGTTTAGATGGCAACTAACTCTGTGTCATTCTTCACTTCCCTAAACAATCCATCATTCATTCTTTCAACAGGCCTAGCAAAATTTTGTTTACGTTTCCTTCCTTCTGCTTTTTATTGGATGATGGATGGCAGATAGGCTGTATGCATAACATAGCTTGATATAAACTTGCATTTGCAAGTTAACACTGTGTGTGTGTGTCGCTAAACATTGATCCAAGAGTCTTACTGAGCAAGCATCCTTCACCGAGCTGTATTTGCAGTGATATAATAGAACCTGACAAGGTTGCCCAGGCTGGCCTTTAGTTCACTATACACTTGAGCCAGCCTTGATTTTGCAGTTTTCCAGCTTCTGCTTCTCAGTAGCTGAATACACTTAGAATAAGCCTGGCTATACTCAAGATCAATATGAGGATACATATCTTCTACTCCATTCGTAGAAAAAAGAAGCCATGTTTCCTACTGGCACCACACACCAAGCGCTGGTGACCACTAACCTGGTAAAAGATTGAAATGCAAAACTCAAAGTATGATTTCTACTGAACATATATGACTTTTCTGCCAACACAGTTAAAAATTATAACTTTAACTCTCATAAGTTAGGAACTATATGCATTGTAAGTACATTTATATATTTTCCTTTCTCTGATTTATGTGTTCATAATTGATTCTTTTTGAATAGTTGCATTTATTCTTTAAGAATTTCACGCATGTATGCAACACATCTTGATCTTATTTACCCTCAACTCTCCTTCCCCTCTCCTCTCCCTCCCCCTCTCTCCCTGGGCCCCTCTCCAACACATACCCCTCCCAACTTCATGTACTCTCTTTTTAAAAAAATACTTCCCTGAGTCCAGCTAGAGATGCCTGCACAGATAAGGGACCATCCATAGCAGCCTGTACAACCTACATCACGAAGAAAAATGACTCTGCACTCCCCAGTAGTCAGCAGCTGCCAGTGGCCCTTCTTTTAGGAGTGAGGTCTCCTTTTTTTTTTCAGTTCTTTTTTTTTATTGGATGTTTTATTTACATTTCATATGTTATCCCCTTACCCTATCCCCCCGACCCAGGAACCCCCTATCCCCTCACCCCTCCTCCTTCTTCTCTGCAGATGTACCCCTACCTACCCCCCACTCCCACCTCCCCACCCTCAAATTCCCACCCACTGGGGCATCCAGCCTTCATGAGACCAAGGATCTCTTCTCCCACCTATGCCTGACAGGGCCCTCCCCCTTATCTATACAGCTGAAGCCATGAATCCCTCCCTAAGTGCTCCCAGGCTGGTGGTTTAGACCCTGGGAGCTGTGATTGGTTGGTATTGTTGCTCTCCTCATGGTGCCGCAAATCCTTTCAGCTCCTTCAGTCTTCACTCTAACTCCTCCATTGAGAACCCCATGATCAGTTCAATGGCTAGTTGTGAGCATCTGCCTCTGAATATGTCAGACTCTTGCAGACCTCTAAGGAGACATCTATATCAGGCTCTTATCAGCATGCACTTCCTGACTTCCACATCAGCATCTACCTTTGGTGACTGCACATGGGATGGATACCCAGTTGGAATGGTCTCCAGACGGCCCCTTCCTCAGTTTCTGTCCCTCACTTTGTCTCCATATTTGCTCCCTTGAGTATTTTGTTGCTCCTTCTAAGAAGGACCGAAGCACCCTCACTTGGTCTTCCTTCTTCATGAGCTTCATGTGCCCTGTGAGTTGAATCTTGGGTATTTCAGGGTTCTGGGCTAATATCCAATAATCAGTGAGTGAGTACCATGTGTGTTCTTTTGTGATTGGCTTACCAGGAGTGAGGTCTCCTAACTCTCTCCCCAATCAGTGCTGGAAAGCTGCCTTAATCTACTACAGGCTTCGTGCTGGTAACACAGCTGCTGCCCAGAAGACAGCATATCACAGCACTCCGTTCCCCATACCTCCTGCTCTTCTGTTCTTTCTGCCCTGCTTCCCCAATGTCCCCTTGTAACGGCCCATTCTGCCCCACATTAGGAGGTCACTATGTCCTGGCCAGAGCTGCTGCTCCCGGTTCACGGGTCAGGATCTAGCAAGAGAGAGAGTGGGGATGGAGGGGCAAGAGACTCTAAGAATGGAGACAAGACAGAGAGTCTGATCAAGTCTCCTCTTATTGAAAGGAAATCCTGGGTATTTATACGCTTTACCACGTGCCTTGCCCTCTCAGACAAGCAGGGGAAACACAGCTGAAGGCACTATGCCACGTGCCTTGCAGCACGGATACCATGTGCACCTTGCAGCTGGGGGCACTAAACAGCAAAACAAGATATATGAGAAAAACAAGATGTTTATCAGAGTGTGTTCAGCTGTTGGAGGCTGTTGAAAACAAGTCTCTTGTCAGGGTATATGGCCCGAGATGGCTGCAAAGATGATAGCCGCTGATAGCCGCTTTCTGCTAGGAGTAAGCTCCCAACATCCCCTGAGCCTTGTAGGCTAGGTACGCATGCAGGTTGATAAAATGTCTCATTTGGGACTGAGAATTCAGTAGTCACTTATTCTACACTACACACTTTGACTAGTTATAAGATTCTGCATGACTACTGTCCATTGCAGAAAGAAGCTTCTCTGACCAAGGTTGAGAACAGCATGAACCTATGTGAATGAAGATAAATACAGATATTTAAAAGATAATTTGACAGCATATCAGCTTAACCTTAAACATAACAACAGGTCTTCCATAGCATTTATAATCTTTCAAGCCATGGGCTTTTGAGAAGGTTTGCAGTACGTAGGCAAGAATTCCTTCCTGTGGAGGCCTCAAATTCAATCAGAAAGTGGTGGTTTACCCCAATGCCAGTTGTGTCAATATTGTACCAATGGGTACATCTTGCCTAGCATGTTAGTGTTATAGCAGGCATGGTCCACTGCTGGAAGAGACTACTGGCCTCTTTTCTTTCTCAGCAGTGTGTAAAGCACTTCAGGCATCATGAAAGCTAGCCCACAGATAAAAGGCTTTTCAGTCCATTCAACATTGATTTTTCTGTGACCTGCAAATGGTGTCGTGTCTTCTACAACGGAGTCTTACCATCTAGATATGGAGGAAAACTACAAACAATGACAACAGCCAGTGTTGTTCGGGGGGGGGCCTTCTGGGGCTTACTCATATTTTGACTTAGTATTCTTTTCAATATCAGTCAACGTTTTTAATATTAGGGAAAACAAAATGGTTGCCAAATACTTCGCAAATATTTTTCAAACCTTCAAAAGTAAAATACAGTCACATCTGCCCTTTGTGATCCCTTCATGGAAGCATCCCTCTTTCTTGAAACTTTATATCACAAATCTTTGACTGGCATTAATTTAATTCAACAGAGAGTTCTAAAAATCATGAGAGCCAATCATTCTATTAAACTGTTCGGATACCTTTGTTCACAATTGACAAGCAGTATCTATCTTTGACTCCAAGTTGTAAGAAGACAAACAAGAGGTAAAGACCAACCTTAGGGGTCTTTATATGAAACAAAACGGATGCTGCCAATGTCTGGCTATGCAAAGTAGACAGCTGAACTGGGTCCTGATCTCTGCCTTGCACTCTGGCTGGTCTGATGTGGCTGAAAATAATAAGAGGTGGTGGAAATAACAGCTGTCCCCTTCAGTGATTCACTTTGTCTTCAAAGAGGAATTCCAGGCCTGTGTGTACTAATAGTTCAAGATGGGAAGGAGGTTATATGTCGTTGCCATAATAATGGTAATGACCAAGTTTGAAAGCTTTAAAGTGTTTCTCCACATTACCTCCTGTTAGCCCTATGCCAAATGACATGGAAAGGTATCATTATCTCCATTTTGTAGAAGAGAAACATGAGTTACCTATGGTGCACCACAGTGTGAAATATGCTATAGGCTCATCATCAGACACATATAGTCTTGTGAGGGAGGCAAGATGCAGTGAAGGAGCAATCAAGGTTAGTCAAGAAATACATACCAATTAAATAAAACTCGAATCAGTACAAATTAAATACAGCAAAATAACAGTGCTTGATAGTGTTAATAATGAATGCTGGACATGAAACTGTCAGTGTTGACTAGATTGTTAGATATATTTGATGTAGACACCTAGTGATAATTACATTGGAGTGAACTTTGTATAAGGAGAGAGAAAGCACACATATCAGACAGGGAGCATCTTTAGAAAGCCTTGCAGTAGGTTTGTAAACTAAGTATGGGAAGAAGAGCAGGCAGAGGGTAGGCTGAACTGATGGGAACAAGCCTTGCTAAGATCTGCCCATCAGGTTGGAAGGTTCGAGGCAGAGTTTGAAGTTGCCAGCTGAACTTGTGAGCCCTGGGAGGAGCATTAAGTAGCAGGAATGTGATTTTTAAAATCATCTTTAGGAAGACTGGGATGATGAGAACACACTAAGCACATAGTAGGGCTATAACAGAGTTGAACAGTTATTATTATCACAGAGTTTAAAATACCGGCACATCCATCTGGACGCTGAGCAATCAATCTACACAGTGATCATATGACTGAAAAGGCAGAAAATAAAAGGAGTAAATTTGAAATCAGAGATAGTTCAAAGGCTTTCTCCAAGGGCGAGAGCCCCAGGAGGTGGGGGGGGGGGCTCTGGCTCTAGGAGAGGAAGCTAGGCAAAGACATGACTTAGCAATGAAAACCACTGTGCACCGGTGGCCACCCGAGTGGAAGCTAGCTGAGATGTGTATGTGTTCACATGTTTACACATGCAATTGCTCATGTACAAGACCTAATAAACACAGTCCCCTCCCCTCCACAAGGTCCCAGAGCTGAAGTAGCTTACAAAGTCATTACTTTTAAACCTGCTTACTGGGATTGTTAGCACAGATGAACCCTGCATTGTAACAAATGTAGACATTAAAAATCCAGATGTGTGAGGATAAGATTTGAGGATCACTCACAGTCACCGGCTTGGAGAGGGTAACAAAGGTGATGAAGGACCAGAGGAGAGTCCTAGCTTCCTCTGAAAACTGCACCATTCCCTTCTCAAGCATCACTCGTTTAAAAAAAAAAAATCACATTTATGGTCAAGGGTGAGAATGGCAAAATTCATCGAGAAAACAGAGTTGCTCTGCCGAGGAGACCCATTTGAAAGTGAAATAGAGGTCAAAACCCCACTCTGACATGAAAATTGGAAACCGCCAGATGTTCCAATGCTGTAGTACAATTCAAAAGGGCAGGAGTGACGGATTATTAACCATTCCAGCTGGCAACGTAGAATTTATGTTTTCTTTGTTATGTGAAATGTCAGTCATACAGAAAACATTAAATATCTGCACAGGTTCAAAAAATCTGTCAGAAAACAATATAAATCAAATCTAAGTGCAATGAATAGAACTACCAGCAGAGGGCCCCCTTCAACGCCTGGCAAATTCTCAAAGGAAGACAAACTCCTAAAGGAAGAGCCTTTTATTTTTCTGGAAACTTCTGATTCCAATCGAAAATGTCCGTGCCCAGACATAGCACAATTATCCTTCTTTATAATTTAATTACAAAAGCAATATTTAGAATTTCAGGTCTTAAGGCTTTTTTAAAAAAAATTTTTTGCACTATGCTTTCTGCTTATGAGAAATTTTATATGACATTCCCATCACCATAATTCAGGATAATGTAGGCATGGAATACCTTAGGGTGGAAGAGTGACTTTCACAGCCTCTCTACAGTACTTCAGACTATCCTGCTGATAACACAAACAGGCACTCTATAAAACTGGCTTTTGGGGAGTTTGGTTTGGTTTGTTTTAATTTTTTGCCCCGTAATCCCTAGATGGAAATGTGCAAATTACCAACACAGGAAGGATGCCACTGTAGCAAGGAATCTTTAACAACTCAAGGCCTCAGGAAATATACATCTGTTAAACACCACATCTGAGTATCTGGTCACATTCTCATTTCTATTTTTAAAAGACATCTGTAGAGCATCTTGGATCAGTTTAAGTCAGAATGTCTCCATTTCATGTAACACTCTCAGTCAGATCATTTTTTTCATTGATCATGAAAAAAATGGGTGCCAGCGAGACTTGCCTTGAAATGTTGTCGTTGTATCTGCATACTGGCCTTGGAGAAAACTGTGATTTTTCAAAGTCAGGTAAGGTAGTTGAGTGTTGACTTTATTACTTAGATGCATGTTTCTGGCCTTGTCTATATCAAAAGCCAGAAAACTTTAGCCCACAAAGCCCTAATCTAGCCTGCTGCTTATTTCTATATAAACTACAAGGTAAGAATAGGTTTTACATTTTAAAATGGTTCTAAAAAAATCAAAACAGATGTAATTTTTTTCATGACATGAAAATTATATATGAAACTCTGTGCTCACTGGCCACTAAGTTGCATATTTCATGAAAAGTTGTGGAAATCTATTTGCTTTCTGTTAAATAAGCATTTACCTGATAAGCTCAATTTTGCTTCAAGTCTTAGGAAGCCTAAAATACTATATTTACTCCCTAGTTCTATACAGAAAAAGCTTGCCAAATTCTGAACTATGACCTCTTTAATGCTCCTTATGTTCTTAATAATAAAACATGTTGCTCTGTTAACACTGGAAGCAAAGAGCTTGCAGATCTAGTTTCTCCAAATAATCAATGTTTGGAATTGTCCGAGTAGCATTAAGAAAAATGCTGTTTGCATCCTAGACTCAGAGTTTGACTTCTCTGGCCTGTGGTATAACCAGAACATCAACGTTTTTGAAGATCCCCAGGTGATTTGAATATGAAGTTTACAGAGCTCTTAATTTAGTGCTTTGGCAAACACAATCCCTGCCCCCAGCGTTATCCAGGCTCAGGAAGCTCCTTGTTGCTCCTTTAAGCGACCCAAAAGATTCTTCCCACTACCTCTGTGATCCTCCTTCTCTCCAGGGGCTGTTGCTGATTGAGGACAAAGGGAACAGAGGCAAGGGACAGAGTTCTGCACAGACAGACAGCTGTTGTTAATACAGAAGTGTTGATTGGCTTCTAAGATCTGCTTCAGTGAGACAGCTCAATTTTATTCTGGGTGATCAAGGGCGATTATGGATTTGGAGAGTGGGCAGGGAATTCCAAGGTGGATATATGTTATTGACTAGAGTGGAAGCCTAGGAATGTTTCATCTACGTAAAGAAGAATTCCAGGAACCTGGAGGGCAGGTTCTTATGGGAATAGAGGAAGTTGAACCTGGCCATATTCTTCAGAGGTGAAGGAGGTAGAGGTAGAGGTAATGCTGCAGTGAGCACACAGGCTGAGAGCAGGGAGAGAGCAGCCCTCACTCCTACCAATCTCAGAGACACTCAGCATTTGGGGCACAATCGAATCTCGCACATGCTACAGGCCAGCTCCCCAGTCGCACACCCCCACAACCCCACAACCCCAAACTCTCCAAACTCCTGCTGAGTTCTTCAGTCCAGACACTCCAACATCATCCTAACAGCTAGTTTCAAGGCCAGCCTGTGACAGCTCCTGCCCCTTTTACTTTCTGAATGAAATCTCCTCCTTGTCTGTTTTCTTCTCTCCAACAGCATAGTGATTGAAAAGCTGTCTTAAGCCTGGCAGGTTTTAATGAGAGGTGCAGCCTGGAACAAATCACTGAGTCAATCTGCTCCTCTATGTCTTCAATCATAAGCCTGCTTTTAAATGTTTAGCGCTCAGAAAATTTATAGATCACGTGAGCTTTTCTTATTACTTGCTGAGATTGGCACCAACTGGGCCCTTGCGAGGTATTCAGAATCTCAGGGCCCGTCTAGGCCTCAGAGCCACCATGGCTTCCCACGGTGGTATATGTGAGCACACATTACATTTTAAGCAGGGTACTGGAAGCTTTGAGACTCACTAGGCTGTCTCTTCTCTGAAGCTGGCTTTTATGCACAAACTGGTTTGCTTACACTTTTTAAATCCATCTATTTTCTATGCATAGAATACTTTGAAACCAGAAAAGGCTGTAGCAGGACCAGAGGTGATTAAGACAAATAAAGTCAGCTTCAGGCAATGTGAAAATCTCCTCCCTCCGACAGACATGATCCTAGAGGTGCACAGCTAGTGAATTAAAAGAGCTCTTATAAAGTTTAGAACAAACACACACACACATAGACATATATGCACACACATACACACACACACACACACACACACACACACACACACACGTATGCACATACATATACATATGCACAGGGAAGCTGAGCTTCCCTGATCTCAGCATCTAAACCTGAAATTCCTCAGAATCTGGAGTGTTCTTGGTAATGAAATGATGCCACCAGTGGGAAGGGCCACATCAGAACACACGTGACCGACTGCAGTCCAACCTCACGTATACTAAAGCAGGATTTCACTTTTAGAAACATGGCTTCATCTGAGGCAAGGTGTTCTCATCAGGAACCGTGGGCACCGACATTTAAGTCAGTTTTCTGTGCCTTCGGAAGGACCAAGCTGGAGATTGTCTTAACTAAGCATTTATTTCTAAGTTAGGGTGGGTCTATAAAAGCTAAGGAAGAGAGAACATCCCATCATTAACTGAAGTATTTGGAACATATCCAGGGAACTGAGTGAGCTCATCTGCAGACCTGTGTCAAAGGGAGGATGCTGAGTATTTACTTAAATCTCCAAGTACTGACTGTTCATGCTACCCTGTATTTTACTGAGCCATGAGAAGTTTTGCCTTTGACTCTTCTCAAAGAGCTGGTGGAGGGCTGAGACCAGGAGGTCCTTAAACTCGATGTGGTCGAAGATGCTCTAGAGGAAATCCAGACATCTCTTAGTAAATAAGTAGATGTTTACTGAACACCTGCTCAGTGCTGCGGAGAGGTTGGACTTTGCTACCGGATAAGTGACCAAAGAGCCACGTCCTGTCCATGTTGTCTAAAGGGAAAAGAGCGAGCTGTGGTAACACAGCCGAACGTCACCATCTACCCCTCCTTGTTTTTACACTGACCTATGTTGCCTCGGTGTGAGGTCTCCATTGCTTTCCAGATGAGAGGTCTGATTTCCTTACTTGATATAATTCATTTTGAGTGGATGCTTGTTTGCTTCCGCTGAGTTATCAATCCAGCTTCAAATCCAGATATTAAAAATAAGGAGGAGGAGGAAGAGGAGGAGAAGGAGGAGGAGGAGGGAGAGGAGGAGGAGGAGGAAGAGGAAAGGATTGAGGAAAAGAAAAGGACAACGTTAATTTTAGCCCCTAGGCATGTATGTATTCCTAACTCTTGCTTCTAGACGTACAATTAACATGCCATTCTCCAGATGTAAAAATCTGTAGAAGGTACCCCAGGGAAATGTCCCACCATCACTGTTAGAGAGCCATTAATGAGTGTCTTGCTGTGGCTCAGTGGTACACTTCCTCATTTTTTATGTCTACATTCTTCCTCTTGAGAGTGTTGGGTTTAGAAGTCAAGAAAACTTACTTCAGATACGGAAGCTTAAAAATAGAAGCGTTATTTTCTGAATGCACAGGAAGGCAGCCAGTTCTGGATCTGATCCACCTCCCCAAAGGGAGATTGTACAGCATTTTTATAGGATGGAAACACAAAGCAGGGAGGATGGGGTGGGCTGTTACGTCATTGACCAATCATATTTTGACACAAAGGGTTAAACAAAGAAGTTAACTTTGGGGACTGGGCCTTACCTAGATCACCTGGTTTCAGGGTCTTTGCGTCAGCTTTTGCAGACAGGTCCCTTCCTAGACTCTGACCTGGGATTTTAAAATGATAAGGAAAACAGGAGTGAGCCATTAAGTAGCCCATTAAGTCAAGACAGGCAGCACTTTCATGACTTGTGTGTCTTAGTTTAGATAACAGGATAACGGGTCTTCCCTCTTTACATTCCTTACTGGTTAACAAACAGGAAACACCTGAAGATGCAGGGCAGGAGTTGGGATCCAGGGCCTGGGAACACACACTCAGTTTTAGTCCTGCCATGGAGGTAGAGCTCATTCCTGAGGTGGCTGAACTCAGGAAACTACCTCCTAACAGAAAATACTATCGGTAAATATTTAAGGGACTAAGTGAAGAAGTAAATAAATAACAGAAAGCAACCTGGGTGTTTTGGCTCCTGCCTGTGGAAACTAATGCACCATGATTCCAGGAAAAGGAACTAACGGCTAGGAGAAAAGGCCTCAGACAGTTCAAGGAAGAAGCCAGCCAAAAACAAAGCTAAGCCATGGTGCTTCAGTATGCTTGGCCCTCTTGGGAAGTGTAACCTTGTTGATGGAGGTGTGTCACTGTGGAGGCAGGGCTTTGAGCTCTGCCCAGTGTGAAACACAGGAGTCTCTCTTCCTGGCTGCCCTTTCATCAAGGTGTAGAATTCTCAGCTCCTTCTCTAGTACCATGTCTGCCTGCATGCTGCCATGCTTCCCACCATGATCATAATAGAATAAACCTCTGAAACTATAAGCCAGCCCCAATTGAATGCTCCTTTTTTATAAGAGTTGCCATAGTCATGGAGTCTCTTAACAGCAATAATACCCTAACTAAGACATATGCCAAAGGAAAATTCTGGAACCTTTACAACATGCAGTAGAAATAGAAGCTGCTACACCTGGAGTATCTTTTGGTATAATATTGCTGAACAGAAACTTAACCAGCAACCTTTGTAACAGAGAAGCTCAGGGCTTTTTTTTTTTTTTCCAAAGAACTAAGCAGTAGATTCCCTTACATTAGAATTAAGGAGGAGGAGGAAGAAGGGGGGAACGAGGAAGAGGAGGAGGAGGAGGAAGAAGGGGGGAACAAGGAAGAGGAGGAGGAGGAAGAGGAAGAAGGGGGAACAAGGAAGAGGAGGAGGAGGAGGAAGGGGGAACAAGGAAGAGGAGGAGGAGGAAGAAGGGGGAATGAGGAAGAGGAGAAGGAGGAAGGGGGGAAAGAGGAAGAGGAGGAGGAGGCGGAAGAGGAAGAAGGGGGGAACGAGGAAGAGGAGGAGGAGGCGGAAGAGGAAGAAGGGGGGAACGAGGAAGAGGAGGAGGAGGAAGGGGGAAAGAGGAAGAGGAGGAGGAGGAAGAGGAAGAAGGGGGAACGAGGAAGAGGAGGAGGAGGAAGGGGGAAAGAGGAAGAGGAGGAGGAGGCGGAAGAGGAAGAAGGGGG